CCTCTTTATTTTTACTATTCATAATTTTGCTGAGCTTTTAGAATATAAATATTCTTCGACATTACAATTCACGAACATGGCTTGTTACCCCATCAATGCAACAACGTAAATGTTAATCATGTAAAAATTTGTCTACGATATAATAAATTAAATAAGAGCAATTTTTCAAACAGTGAAAAATATAAATAATTTTATTTTATACTAAATTACATTTTTGTTCCTTATTTTCATCGATATGCAGTTTTGACAAGTCTATTTTAAAATAGAGAAGTCTCTTATTTTTTAAAATATAAAATTTTGATTCTTTTATTAATTTGATATTTATTGATCATAAAATTTTAACGTTGTTTAACAATTTATTTATACTTAAATGATATGATATTAAGTGACATAATATATAAGGATAAAAAATAAAAATAATAAATAATTTTTTTATATGTATAAATTTTTAAGAGTGATGATATTTATTTTATTAATAAAAATTTTATATCTTTTTTCTTCTATTTTTTATTTTTAAACGTCATATTATTAAATATTATATTATTTAAATATGAATAAATATTAAAATTTAACGATTAGTAGATATAAATTTGATGAGAGAGTAAATTTTTTTTATTTTAAATTAAATATATCTATTTTAAAATAAAGAAACTAAAATCACATACCATCCAAAATATATAAGAAATGATTCAGGATACGTGATATTCTCATAAGATGAGAAAAAATCCAATGGTCAATGAAAGTTGTGCACCATAGACCACATGCCAAAGTGATGTACCTACATTGTCTCAAAAAAATGTGCTCTTAACATTTATCTCTGGTAAAAAGAATGTGAAACCAAATGAGATTATGTTGAAATGTAATTCAGATCATATAAATAGATCCATTTGTATAATAAAGTGATATGCATGCAAACGTAATTTCTTCTCTCTGCACGTTCACGTAATATCCTCTCTCTTCATGTTTACGTATTCTCTCTCTTTCTTGTTTCACGTTCCAACATTTGGTATCCAGAGCACAAGTTCGAAGGGTCAACTGCCATAGAAATTTATGGCTACATCACTCACTTCGATCTCCACCAATCTTCCAATTCTCACGACGAAGAATTATGATAATTGGAAAATTCAGATAAGAGTGATCTTGAGATTTCAAGGGGTATGGAACCTTGTTGAAGAAGGTTGCAAGTTGGCTGGTGCAGGTGGAACAGAAGCCCAAAAGGTTGCAGATAAGGAGATCGAAAGGAAAGATTGCAAGGCCCTGTACATCTTGCATCAAAGCGTTGATGCAGCAAATTTTGAAAAAATCTCAAAAGCAGAGACATCCAAGGAGGCCTAGGAGATTCTTGAAAGGGTCCACGGTGGTGCAACGAAGACCAAGAAGGTGAGGCTTCAAACGCTGCGATGTCAATATGAGCTTCTATCAATGGAAAGCAACGAGACAGTGGTTAACTACATCACTCGTGTTCAAACGATGGTGAACACAATGAAGGGCCTTGGAGAAAAGATGGTTGAGCTAAATGTGATTGAGAAGGTGCTACCACACTACCCATGAAGTTTGATCACATAGTAGTGGCAGTAAAAGAGTCAAAGAACCTTGAAGACATGATCTTGATGAGCTTCAAGGCTCTTTGGAGTCACACGAACTAAGGTTGATCAAAAGGGGAGAGGAGCGAAAGAATGAGCAAGCTCTCCAGGCACAGACTAACATAAATCCGATGTTCAAGAAGAAACCCAAGAACAAAGGAAAATGGAGGCAAGAAGTGAATAGTGACGAGATTCAAGACAGCAAGCATAAAGTTGCACCTCAGAAAGGAAAAGGACGTAATCCTGACATAAAAAAGGTAAAGTGTTACAATTGTAATAAGATGGGTCATACTGCCAAGTATTGCAGGCACTATAATCCAAGAAGAAACGAAGCCCAAATGGCTCATGAGGAGGACAACGACTCAGAACAAGTTCTGTTAATGGCAACCATTGTCCAAGTAGAAGGTCTAGAAGATAATAGTTGGTATCTTGACACGGGATGCTCAACGCACATGACGGGAAGGAAGGACTGATTCGCAAGCCTCGACGAATCAATTAAAGGCAAGGTGAAGTTTGCAGATGCTCGCGTTCTAACGGCAGAAGGGGTTGGAAAGATCACGGTAAAGAAGAAGAATGGCGACCAAGTTCTCATTACAGATGTCTTATTCGTCCCTGGAATGAAGAGCAACCTGTTAAGCCTAGGACAATTACTAGAGAAAGGATACACCTCTAGATTGGAAAATAAGATGCTCAGGGTGTACGATAAGAAAAATCACCTGATATTGAAGTCACCCCTTACGAAGAACCGGACTTTCAAAGTAGAGATTGATGTTGTAGATCAAGAATGTCTTGTAGTTGTGGTAAAAAAGGAGGAATGGCTTTGGCATTACCGTCTTGGACACCTCAACTTCAGAGATTTACAGAACCTGAAAACCAAAGACATGGTGCGAGGCTTACCCCATATATCTCCACCCAATGAAGTGTGTAGTGATTGCATGGAGTCTAAACAGCCGAGGAACTCCTTTCAACAGCATGTTTCATCCAAAACTAAAGAAAGGCTACAAGTCTTCTACTCTGATGTTTGCGGTCCTACTCAAACTGAGTCCCTTGGAGGTAATAGATATTTCATCTCTTTCATAGATGACTTCTCTAGAAAGCTATGGGTATATTTGATCAAAAGAAAGAGTGAAGTGTTAGAAGTGTTTCAAAAATTCAAAGCTATGGTGGAACGAAGTAGTGGCCAGTTGATCAAAGTATTGAGGACCGACGGTGGAGGTGAATATACGTCCAGAGAATTTGAGAGGTTTTGTGAAAAGGAAGGAATCGAGCATCAAGTCACGCCTCCATACACACCGCAACACAATGGAACTGCTGAAAGAAAGAACTGAAACATCATGAACATGGTACGTAGCATGTTAAAAGCAAAACAATTGCCTAAGTATTTCTGGGGGGAGGTTGCGTCAACCGCTGCTTACATCCTAAATAGATGTCCTTCGAAGAGGCTGGAGGGAGTTACTCCAGAAGAGGTTTGGTCGAACAACAAGCCAGACGTGAGCCACCTAAGACTGTTTGGATCAATGGGTTACAAACACGTACCTGAACAATTGAGAAGAAAGCTAGACGACAAAGGTGAAAAGATGATACTGCTGGGATATCATCCAACAGGTGGATACAAGTTGTTCAATCCCATTAGCAAGCAAATTGTGGTGAGTAGGGACGTGATGCTTGATGAGTCAAAGGGATGGAACTCAGAGTCAAACAAGGATGAACAATATAGTCAGGTAATCATTGATTCCGTGGACGCCGAAACTAATGAAGATCAAAATGAAGAATCGGGAGGAGCATGTACGTCCAATGCTCTTAGAAGATCGCAAAGAGATACTCGTATTCCAGGGAGACTCAAAGGTTTTGAAATGATTTCTGATGTTGATGTAAATGAAGACAGAGATATTGTTCACTTTGCTCTATTCTCTGAAACTGAACCAGTCACCTTTGAAGAGGCCATTTTGAACAGCAAATGGGTTGATTCAATGAAGGATGAGCTTCGATCCATTGAGAAGAACCAAGTGTGGGAACTAGTGACTCTTCCAAAAGAGACCAATCAGTCTAAGGTGGGTCTTTAAGACCAAACCCGATCCCACAGGAAAGGTAGTGAAGCATAAAGCAAGGTTAATGGTAAGTGGCTTTCTTCAAAAACCTGACATCGACTATAAGGAAGTGTTTGCACCAGTGGCTCAGATTGAAACGATAAGAACCGTGGTCGCCATTGCCAATTCAAAAGGATGGATCATGTATCAGTTGGACGTAAAATTCGCCTTTTTGAATGGACCTCTAGACGAAGAAGTTTATGTATCACAACCTCCTGGGTTCGAAATTAAAGAACAAGAAGCTAAGGTGTACAAACTGAAGAGAGCTCTCTATGGACTCAAGCAAGCGCCGAGAGCATGGAATCAAAGGATTGACGCATACATGATACAGCTTGGATTCATCAAATGCACTTGTGAATTTGGAGTATATGTTCGCCAAAAACAACACTTAGTCATAGTGTGTTTGTACGTGGATGATCTTCTAATTACAGGAAATCATATTGGAGATGTTGAGGTCATTAAGAGAGAATTGATGCATGAGTTTGAAATGACAGACCTAGGAAAGTTATCGTACTTCCTAGGATTTGAATTCGTAAAGGTAAAAGAAGGTTTGATGATGCATCAGAAGCGGTATGCAATGGAAGTGTTGAAAAGATTCAACATGCTGAACTGCAATCCAGCGTCTACTCCATCTGAGACCGGTTTGATATTGGAGAAGGAAGGGACCGAAGAACCTGTTGATGAAACTATGTATAAGAAAATTGTGGGATCTTTACGGTACCTTTGTCATACACGTCCGGACATAGAATTCTCTGTCGGAGTTATGTCACGATTTATGCAGAATCCCAGGGAACCTCATCTTCTTGCTGCTAAACGGATCCTCAGGTACGTCAAAGGAACCATGTCAAGTGGTATCTTGTTCCCACAGAACAACACCACGACTGACGAAATTGAGGTTGCTGGGTTCACGGATACGGACTGGGGGGCAAACAAGGATGATCGTAGGAGTACAACTGGTTTTGTATTCTTTGTTGAAGGAGGGCCTATCTCGTGGAGCTCGAAGAAGGAACCGTGGTGGCTTTGTCCACTTGCGAAGAGGAGTATATAGTTGCTGCCCTGTGTGCATCTCAGGCTGCATGGTTAGACAAACTGCTAATTGAGTTGAAGAAGAAGCGTGATGAAGGAGTGAAGTCACTACTACAAAAACACTCTTTTACATCGCTAAATTTACCTGATTACAAAATCCCTATATGGCTTCACACTCCTGATTCCATCAGGGTAGCTTTTACATTCAAGCATTATTTGTTTTAGTCTATTCATGCATGCAGTACCTTATCAATGGACCTTTGTGTGATCTTCTTGCTTCTAGTGCATGCCTGATGCCACTGCTTACTTTCTCAAGAGCCTTGGATTTGCTGCAGGTAATGTTTGGAGGACGTGTTCAATGGTTTTGTAGTTGTTTTGGATTCAAATTACCTCCATTAAATATTATGATAAATGGTAGTTTGAACTGATTTCAAAATCCCTATATGGCTTCACACTCCTGATTCCATCAGGGATTCAGGGTAGCTTTTACATTCAAGCATTATTTGTTTTAGTCTATTCATGCATGCAGTACCTTATCAATGGACCTTTGTGTGATCTTCTTGCTTCTAGTGCATGCCTGATGCCACTGCTTCATGTTGTACATACCTATGAAAATGTCCATTGTTTCTATTAACTAACCTTTCATATTTTGTGCTATGCCACTAATGGGTAGGGACAATTAGCTCTCCAATTCCTAGGAATTTGTGTATCAAAGTTAAAAAAAAAATCCTTTTAAATGGGTTGTCAAACTTCATTTGAATTTATTACCAAATTGTTGGTCTGAGTCGTAGTACACTTGGTTCCATTAAGCATGGTCTCATACTCGAGTCATGTAGATGAAAAAAGTTGGTTGGTAAGAAAGACTTCACTAAAAGTAGACAAAATCTCTTATGGGGATTAGTTATCGGAGAAACAATAAATATTTCATAATAAAATTATGGTTATAAAAAAACTTCATTTGAATTTAATTTTGATATCATTCGATTTTTTACACATGCCTATTAAATGAAACTCAAATACTAGTTATTTATGTTTGTTCTTTTTTATCATACTAGAACATGGATCTGTACGATTTTTTATTTATTTATTTATGATCACATTGCATGGTTTGCGTGACGTGTGCAGAAGCAAGGAATGGTGAAGGAAGGAGAAGAAGTAGCACTTGTACAAAGTGGTAGGCAACCCATATGGAGGTTCCAATCCACACACAATATCCAGGTTAGGAAAGTGTAAACCAAAAGAATGGAGAGTGGCCACAAATAATGTTTCAAGACGCAGTAGTAGTACGTTTAGCTTCACAAGAGTCAAGAGCATCATCTTTTTATTATTGCCTTTTAGTGGGTTGCTGCCAGTATTTGTTTCTTAGTTGCCTTGTTCCCATCCTATGTTTCATATTCTCTTCTGAATGTTATTGGTTTTATTTATTTCCTCTGTAATTTTGTTTTGTTTCTAAATGTTATTGAAATTTTGGTTTAGCAATTGAATCCAGAAATACGCTTTCAGCATCAAGGACTGACTTGTTCATTGATCTTTCCTTTAACAACTAAACTGACCTTCCCAAATATCTAACTTGATAAAAGATTTCAGATTTTTTGTTGTATAATTTAATATTTCAATATCTAGCATTTTTTTTTAGTTTAAAACCCTGATAGGTTTTTGATAAGATCAATTTTATGAACTCAAATCTCAAATCTGACTCGATCAAGATCTAACAAGATTAGGTGAACCTATTTTGTTAGTATACTAATTTTAACATCATATGTAGTTAAATTTTAAATTTTTAAAAAAGTATATAATTATAGTTAAGGTATTTTTTATAGTATATATTTCAAGATAAATAATATTAATACAAATTTAATATCATCTTAGTTAAAATATTATGAAGTTAAGAAAATATATTATTCATAATTATTATATACATGATATGATGATTCAAAGGTAACTTGCACTTGTCTTTAAAATGTATTGAATTTTTTAAATCCAAACATCTCAAAAGTATTTTGGACTGAATCAGGTTAGTGGGTTGGGTAGGAACATGAACTTCCTTAGCCTTAACTAAAGGAGCACAGTCGATGCTCCTAGTTTTGCAGGGTCGACCTAATTGGTAATCGGTGGATAGATGACTTAATAATTTATTTAACAAGAGCTTAAATGTAAATCAGGTTTTGGATTTGAATGTTAGGATAATAATTTATTAAATAAATGTTTAAATCTCTTTAGGAAAGGTGTTTCTGTGTTTAAAAAGAAAGTTAACAGAGGAAATAAATAAAACCAATAACATTCAGAAGAGAATATGAAACATAGGATGGGAACAAAGCAACTAAGAAACAAATACTGGCAGCAACCCACTAAAAGGCAATAATAATAAGATGATGCTCTTGACTCTCTTGTGAAGCTAAACGTACTACTACTGCGTCTTGAAACATTATTTGTGGGCACTCTCCATTCTTTTGGTTTACACTTTCCTAACCTGGATATTGTGTGTGGATTGGAACCTCCATATGGGTTGCCTACCACTTTGTACAAGTGCTACTTCTTCTCCTTCCTTCACCATTCCTTGCTTCTGCACACGTCACGCAAACCATGCAATGTGATCATAAATAAATAAA